AAGGGAGGAGCAGGAAGTGGTAACTTATTTGGACTCCTGAAATGAGACTCCAGCTCTCACAGGGTTTCACAGCTCCTCGCTTGTTTTCACCTGGTCAAAAAGACCCAAGCAACAAATTAGCCCAGGATGTTGTGCCATCTGTGACTGCTACAGGACACAACCTCAAAATCCAACAGAAAGGAAGCTTTTTTTTGCTACATGGAGCCCTTACACCAGTGAAACCCAGCCTCCTTTGCCTTTCAAAGCAACCACTTGCCCTGCTTCATAATTCCAGAAACAGCTCGTTATACCTGCAGAATTTCTCATCCCTTGTCCATTTCCAAGACACATACATGCACTTCTGCAATGGGCTTTTCTTTAACTCCTCTGACTTCAGCAAGATTGAAGTTGATTGAATGTTTCAGAAACAATTTAGACATTCCTGCCAAACTCCACAGTTCCCTGGAAATCCAGCAAAGCTCCCGTGCAAGGTCTGGGCAGTTGCCTGCTCATGTAGTGTCACTGAAGGGCACTGAGAAGGAAATGCAATCACTTGGAAAGGCCTCTCATTTAAGGATCGCAGGAATAACTATAGATGAGCACATAGCAAGGATGTATAACGTTGAGGTTCCAAGTTATGAACAAGCTCTTTGACAGATTCTTCACAGCCCTGTTATACCCTGTTATACCCATCAGAAGCTTCCTACAGTGCTCCTCCAGTTGTACTGCAAGTAGCCCTCATCCCTTTTCCCATCATCTCAGTGATAAACACCCATGCAAGAAGTTTACTTGCAAAAAACACATGCAAAATTTCTGAATACCCCAGGGTCCAACAGCAAGTAGAAAAACATAAAATAAAATAAGTTGGGGCGCTGTCCCTGCCTCTTCATTTTAGCTATCATTTTGGCACATGCCAGAACATTACTCTAGGCAAAACATCACCCGGTAATGAACAGGGATTTGCATGCAATTCCAGCAGTGGGCATGACCACGGGCACTGCTCAGTGCATGTTTTTCCAACTGAGGGTCTTCACAAAACCCATCTCTGCAGACCAGCTGCACAGTAAATGGTCACAACATCTAATGCTATTTGTATTTTTAATTGGATTATCAATTGACGTGACATAATAGCTGATGTTTCCGCACAAAAAACCACGTTTATTACATTGATGCAGAACTGACTCAGAGCACAAGGATGCTTTGAGGTTTCTGTGCTTGATCAGCAGATTCAAATCCCTTGTTGCCAGATTGGCATAAATTGCTAGCCAGTCCTTTCCCAAGAGACAACCTTTGACTAATTTTCCCGACAGCAGTAACTCGTCATGTACCAATTAGATGCGCATCCTTTCCAACAGCGGCTTTGTGAACACCCAGAGTATCTTTGGATCTTACAACCCTCCCATTCCAGAAGTCAGGCTTTTGAAAACACCAGTGAAGATATTCTCAGCTTCCCTTAACATGCAAAAAACCTTCCAAAGTGTACACTGAAGAAAAAAGGGCAAAGCTAAAATAAAGATGGAACTGCGAAGTACAAGGGAAAACTATTTTTTAAATATCTTAATATAGTCCTATTTTTATGTGCAATGATACTCTCGCATTCGTTCACGCTCTTTAGGTCTACCTCTGCTCACTTTAAGATCAAACTGGCATTTTTGCCAGCAGTTCATTAAAAGCCTGCTCCCCGCCACCCCCCTCCCTCCCCACCTGCAGGCAAGCCGGGATCTGGGCCTCACAAGACTACCGTGGCGTGGGTGTTATTGGCTGTCTGTTTTGGCAGCCTCTCCAACTTTCTTCCAGCTCTGTTTTGAAACACAATCTAAGTTTTTTTTTTAAAAAAAACAAAACAACAAAAAACAACAACACACCAAACCAAAAAACAACCAACAAAAAATTAGACGTTCCTGCCCTCTTTACTCACATCGGCACTCCTGCCACCGCTGCGTAAAGCACGGCTGCCAAAGGAGCAGCACCATGTAGGTTGGCCTATATAGCCCAAATGTTCAGCAAAGAAAACACTCTTACTCTGAGAAAAGGTACGTACTCCAGGAAGGCAGGAGGGGCAGAGGAAGGCAGGAGGTGAAAACAAGGGAAAAAAGGGCCAAGAGGACTTCATGAACCGTCTCTCTTTAACAGGGGGAGCAGAGGGAAGAGAAAAATGTCTCTCCAGAGCCGGCTCCCTCCCACATTTAATAGCACTAGGATCTAACGTGTAATTTGGACTAAAAGACTAATTCCTCCTGCAGTTTGATGGATGTTAGCGTCTCTCTTTTTTTTTTTTTCTTCTCAAACAATGTATTACATAACATTCTGATACACTAATTACCATCTCATGTCATAGCAATTTTATTAAGAGCTTATACTTACAGATACCCATTCTGAAAGGATTTCAGGACTTTTTTATAATTTTCTCTGAACTAGGCTTGTTGAAGCACTGGCAACGCGGCCTGATGCTGCCTAATGCATCTTCCAGTAACAAAGCGTCTCTACGCAAAGATCTCTCACGAGCCCTAAGAGTCAGGCATGGATTCTTCTTGCGTTTAGTCTCAAAGACTTGTAAACAAGTTACTTTTAGCACACTATGTTGTGATAAAACACTGGTAACACAGCCCTATTAGGTTCCTGTACCTGCTACAGTTCCCATCTCAGAAGCGATGCCAAGAGAGAGAAATTCCTTTATACCAAGTAATGGAAAACTTGTTAACTATTCTGCAGTTAGTGTTTGCTCATTAATATGGTATCATCTCGCCAGGCAAGACTTGGTACCATGAGGTATTTTTCTGTATAAAATTGCTAATGCCATCAGGATTGTCCAAATGGGATCATCATCATTAAAAAGATTACGCAGTAAGCAAAGTGATTATGACAACGTCTGAATAGAAGGATTACTAATCACAAGTAGAATCCTGGTACAAATCTCATTCTCTGTATACAAGAAAAGACACAAAATCTTTTAAACATAATTTATATACATTTATGGCTTTATACAACAAACTGTCAGGGATTGTTCTCGTGTGTCTGTAGAAGTACATCAGGCACTTTTTCTGAAAATATCCACGTATGAATTTTAATTCTGCAATGTGACTAAGTCAGAGCAGTGAAGCGTTGAAGAGCTGTCACACCACTCGCAAGTAGAACTAGCAGTATGTACACGCCAACTTCTCACGATATTGCTGGTTTGTGGAACACCCTCAAAAAGGAGGCCAGTTTTAATGTTGAGCACTTTGCTTTTCGCTTGCATAAACCATGCTGCATTTTACATTATGATTAGCAAAATAATAATAATAATAATAATGAGAATACCTTATCTAAAATCAGTCATAAATTAAGGATCCTAGCAATTTCATAATGAAAATAGGAATTTCAAATCAGTAAAAAAATAAAAAAGTACTAACATACATCCAGTGGTTTAACAAGTGCAAATTTTATACTGTTTTATAATTGGTCCAATTTTAACTTCTCTTCTTAGGGATGCTCTGTTGACTTAGGCCAATAATAAGCAATATGACTTTTGCTTATAAGTGTAGGCAAATTGTCAGTTTATCAAAGCAGAGCTTTCCAATTAATGCATCTACTACCTAAACATATATCATATAGCTATATTATGGAAACAATACATCTTTATATTTAAAATATCTGAACAGCTCTATAATACAATAAACTTTTAATAACAGTACAAACCAGAGAAAAGTCAAAAACAAGGCTGCATAGGTAAGATCATCTGCACAATTCACAAACCAATCATTTACAACAATTCTGACAAACTAAGTTACTCCAGAAACTTGGTACTTTTACTGAAAAAGGATTTTTTACTAGAGGTCACATAATGTTTGCTTTCAAGGCAGACAACATGCCCCTTCACCAGACTTCACAGTATTCCAGAACTACAATTGCGAAATATTAGAATGGCACCACAAAAAAAAAAAAAAAAGAAAAAAGGAAAACGAATTTGACCGCATAGCCCAAACCTCTGATTATCTACAACTGCTTTCTCACAATAATTAAAAGGGGCTTCCTACAGACTGTTGTAATTAAGGAACGGCTACATTTATGTTATTCATAGTCATAAAAGGAAATGAAGACAGTATCTGTATACAGAAGTTATACAGTAGCAGTAAATAATAAACAGGAGGTATGTTGTTAAATGTAGCATGTTCAGCTGCAACCCCATGGACTACAGCATTAAATTTGAGAGCAAACATTTTTGCACACACAGCAGAAAGAAGGATCTTCAGAAACCCATACGCAGGCCCTCTGCTCGCTCCACTGCCAGGACTTACCATCACGTTTCAGAGACTACAAATGCAGTGGTGAAGATGCTACTAGAGATATTTGCCTGCAAAAGCAGGCGGCTTGACTGAGGCTTTGGCGTTAAGAACGTTTCATTTTGCTCAACAGAAGTTCAAAGACTGATTTCAAGCTGGGGGAGATCCTGTATCACAGGACAGCTTAACATCAGCCTCTGGAACTGCTGACAACTGTAACAGGAGATCTAAAAAAGTAGGACCAGCTGTAATTAGTAGTGATATAAGCCCAACAGGAAGCTAAACACTAGCAAATCAATAAATACATTGCAGAGCCTTAGGAAAGTCATAACAGGATCATTAAATATATGGCTTGTTACTAAAACTTCATTTTCTTGGCACATCCCATCTCTTTCCCCACCACACGCCATCACTACAGGGAAGATATGTTTCAACTGTTCGTCCTGTCGGTACATAAAAAAAGCTCCAGGGATTTCTGTAACACAACCGAAGTGTAGCAATTGGCAAAAAGAGAGGTGAGGTGTGTTATATACACATCCACAAAAACGGCATCGTGTGATTATGCAAAATCAGAAATTATTTATCCAAGACCCAATCCTGAAAATGCTCAGGTAGCTGTCAATGTGCCTACTCCAAGAAGCAGATTCTTCCACAGGAACAAGGCCTCTATCATTAAAGCTCTCCCCTACCGTAAAGCTCCTGTATTTATATAACTTTGCCACTTACTTTATCCTTCTTATTTAAAAAAAGTAGTATTTTGCTGTGTAATAGGGGCTCATAAAAGTTTTAGCCTCCCACTGAAAAGTAGCACTTTTGCCTCTTGAAACATACTGCACTACAACAGAAACAGTCAGACCCTAAAACTAGTGCTAATTTGAACAAACGACAATTTTGTCTTTTTCTTTTTTTTTTTAATTATGGATTTTCACTAAAAGGTCCTGCTCTTGAATGCACAAACATTATGAGACCTCCGTGAAATAAATATAAATGTGAAGCATTGTACAAGCATCTAACAATGAATACTTAACACTTCGTGGTAGTCAGAGTTAAAATGATAGTAGAAGCAGATGACATTTCTAAAAATGCATATATAAAACTGATTAAATATTTCCTAAACAAAAAGTTGTCTATATTTATACATCACACAACAAAAAAAGGGACAGAAATGTTTTGTATTCAAGATACTTATTAAGCTTTTCCTTTATTAGCACTCCCAAGTGCTAGGGAAATTTATAAAAACATGTACTTAATCCAGTTAAAATACTGTACAAAATGAAGAGGTTATGAATGCTGCCAGATCTCAGATATTTATTTTTTTTAAGTTGCCTATGTAACAAAAGTAGACTTTAATTATAAGAAAAATAGCTTGGAAAGTATTCCAAAAATTATCTTAAGTCCAACAATAAAGTCATTAGTCTGACAATGAAATCCAGATATATGCTTGCATAAATTTACATGAATACAGGTAACTTATCAAATGGCATTTAACCTACTGTTTGCTTTGAATAGTCAGTGAGTTTAGTAGCATCATGTTTAACAGGCTATTCTGTTCCCATATGAAATGTGTGGCAATTTTGAGTAAAATAAAGCAGTTCATACTGCTGCAAGGCAAGTCCACAGTTATCTCAATTCATCAGAACACAGGTAACATCAACGAAGGTTAAACTTACTTAGGGCATGAGATCATCACAGTATTCTTACAAAAGTTTATAAACTTTTCTTGGACCAAAACAGATAGTCTTAAAAAACAATTCTTCTTCTACAGATCATACTGTACAAAACCGAAAGCACACATGATGTAAGTAAGAGTCTTTGCTGTGATTATATGGTGTAGTGAATTTGGCACTTCAGAGTAATGAAATTTCCAATGGCACAGTTCTTATCTACAGCAGCACATAACCTGCAAATCTTGGGCAAACATCCTGTACAGGAAAATATTCTGTCTGCTGCCAACTCTGACGAAAGGAAGAAAAAAGAAGAAAAAAAAAGACCCAAAAAAAAGCTAGTGCATGCGCACAGCTTTGTCAAGAAAATTAAAAAGGAAGGTGAAGGACATCTTTGTACTGCTTTTCTCAGTTCCTGCTGTCAGACAAGTCTGAAGAATTTAATCGTAGCCTAGGAAGAAAAAGAAAACAACAAAAAGAACGAATTAACATTCACACCAAAAGATTAAATCTATTAAAATATGCTCAAACTAGCTTTAAAATAACTTAAATGGAGGGAAAAAAAAAAAGTAATTATGAATTGCTAGTTACCAGTAAGTTTTTGTTTAAAATATCAATGTCAAAACATTAGTGCTCCACATGAAGTCACAGAAGTTGGTACACGGCAATCCCAATGCAAACTTGATTTACAAACCAAAAAAGGCCTGGAAAGTGACTACTGTAATAGAGGCACTTCACATGCCAACACAGGAGACGACTCAGGTGTCGGGGGAGTTCCTGGCTACTACAATAGAAAGCACCTGTGCCTTGTTAGGACAGGTGCTGTGAGTCACGTTGGTCAACCGGAAACCACGTGACTCATGGAGGTTTAAAGGTGGGGCACTCCAAGGAGGGGGGGGGGCAGTTCCCTCCTGGAGACTGGAGTGATAGGAGCCCCTGGAGAGCAGCGTCTTGAAGATCTCTGTTAGAAACCTTTGGTTGTGACAAGGACCCTTGGAGGGTGTTAGAGCCTTCTGATATACGAGGAAGATCACAACGACCTTCTGGGTTGTGATCCCCGAAGATTGAGGCATCAGTAGTCCGCAACACTCAGGTTTTAAGATCTCTTTTCCCTTTAGGTTTTTTTTTTTTCAGATTGATCATAAAAAGCACGGCTTACCTCCTACCACATCCTAGCCTGACACCCAACTGTGTGTGGTTGTCTTTACGCTGTGCTGAAAACTTTGGTTAGGCAATACACTGTCAAAGTTAAAATCTAACGTTTCTCCATCCATAAGGTCATTACGGATAATCGACTCCATGTCACAGTCCAACCGTTCAATTAACATGTCATCTAAGTCACTGGGAAGCTTCTCCTGGTGGAGGGAAACAATTCCCACCCTTCCATAGCCATTGCAACTGTTAACAGGGGCGTACGGGTTCATAGCATTCATCTGCATCGGGTGACTCATAGGCACTTGTAACGAAGTCTTCACTGTCGACAAGCGATTTAGACCTGAAGTATGCGACATGGTGTTCACTGTGTGTGACAAGGCACGACCATTAACTGCAGGTGTTGGCTGGTTATGTCCTTGGTGAGGGCGGGCGTTAGGGTTCATCATTTTGTTGTGGGGCGGTTGACTGCCATAAGTTGGCATCACCGAGTTAGCCACCATCAGCACGCTTTGGCCCAGCGCCCTGCCACCAGCCTGGGAAACACCAGTGTCTACTGATGCCAACATATCATTGTGCGGTGGAGAATCGGAAGTCAGTAACTCCTTCAGAAGTCCTGCAGGACAGTTATATTGGCTCATCGATCCATAGCTTGATTTACTGTCTTGAAGAGTCTGCATAGGAATCTGGGGCAAAGAGTTCATGCTAGCTTGAGCATACGTAAATTTCCTGTAGTCTGGATTTGGTGAACCTATACTTGTTGTCGAGGATGCGAACGAATAACCTGGTGTTTGCTGCATCAGGGTAGCAGATGAAGACTGGGTTGACACAGTCATTGACGTATTAGGTGACAAGAGATTAAGGTTATCCAAAAGATTCTCCATGTTCTCAGAATTACTCATCTCTGAAAGGCTGGGTAGAGTAGAAGTCATTTTGGTGGCTGATGATGGGTATACCATGGAGTGCACATCCCCATCTCCAAGATCATCTTGCTCCGGCAAAATTGGAGAAAGTCTTCCGCTAATCGTACTAGCATTAGAGCTGGTTCTAGGTCGAAATGTACTCCAGTTATCAAAGTCATCGTTACTGTGAGAGCTGGGGCTTGCAGGCCACTTTGAGAACTGTGATCCTGGGCTGTCACCGTTTCCCTCTTGACCAGACTGAAGGGATGCTTTTTTCTTGGCAGCTCTGCCTCTGCTTTTGGCGAACTTGCTGTTGTTATCCATGGACGCTGCTCGCCTCCTAGGAGATAAATCCTTCAGGATTGAGCATCCACCAGGAACTCTTCCCTGTTCCCTCATTCTGCACTCTGATGAACTTGCTGTGCAGAGACAAGTTGTGACGGATTGAATTCTGAAAAACAAAATAAGGTGTAAGAAATGAAGGAAGCATGCTTCTTTTATAGTGTACCAATATTTGTTTTTGCAAACATACTCTCATTTTGTTAGGAAACATAGGGTAATCATGAAATGAGAAAACATGCCAGTCTGAAAACATCTTTTATCAGCTCACCACTCAGAACTGGCTGAAACGAGCTTGCAGAGAGGTGCCATGTCAATTTGTCTGTCATGTAGCCCAATCACATCTGACATTATAAAAAGTTAAAATACTGAAGGAGCTGTTCTGAAATACAAATTCCTCATGAAGGAGACAAAATATACCAGAAGACCAAGACGACGATCGAAGATCTCATTATTGGCTTCGCTCTAATAGTTGAACCTGATTGCATTTAGTGATTTTATTGTATTATTATTTATGCAAAG